ATGGGCTTGGTGGGCTTATGGAACAATGAGGAGTCTCAGCAGCAGGTAGCAGGTAGGAGCATGGGACAGCGGAAGAAAGACAGGGCAGGTCGATCACCATGTAGAGTCTGGAGCTCTGGGAGAGCCATCACCCTGCCATGTGAGTCAGGTCTGACCAGTAGACTTATATCCACTCCCCGTAAAGGGGCCAATTGGTTTATGTCCTCTAATCCCTGCAATCAGTACCCAAAGTAGAAGTCCACTCTTCTTCCCAGCCATGTTTTGTCCCTCCTTCTAACACTAATTCTTTTCCTGACCCAGTTCTCCAATTCTCCCCCATCTCTGGAATTGATATAGGCAATTAGCAAACTTCCTAAGATTTTTGATGTCTCTGAGCTTTTGCTTCACTTCCTTGACTTACCTGAATTCTGCCTTCTTCCTTGGGACATTTTCTCTGCAGCCCAGAAGTGGTGACTGTATTTTCAGATTGTGTTTCTTGGGGCCTGGAGTAGAATTGGTGTTTCCCTTACTTCCTTTGACTTCTTCAATAACTTTCTTTCCTGTTTTACTTGGCTAAATCTCATTCTTCTCCACCTCACTCTTGTTATTTACTGACCTTCAAATCAGTTCTGTGGATGACTGAAGACTTTGGCATGTGGCTCAAATTCTTACTCTCAATCCCTAATCCGGCCAGGGACTTCATTATTTACATTGGCAACCCTCTTGATATCCTGGCCTTTCAATTCTTGACCTCCTTACTGTCAATGGACTTTTCCTCCAATAAACTTCATTCAGTCTCTCCCACAGTTATACCTCAAACTTTATTATCTCACCCATTGCTCCATATCCACAATCATTAATTCAAGAATGCCATTCTCTGATCCTAAAGCCACCATCAAGCCTATTGCTTGTTTATTCGGATATCTAATAGTGGCCTTTGGCATTGGTCAGCTTTCGTAGATGACAGCAAATTCATTCCAGTAAGTTTCAGCAGGAAAGACTTTTTCAAGGGCTATTAGAAAGCTCACAGAATTGCTGAAAGATTCCTTTTAGTGGGAACTGGTAATTATAGTTTGGGATTTCATTTAAACCTTTCTCGACTGGATCCTTCTCATTGGCCTTTGGATATGATTAAATCTTTTCAATTAAAAATAATACACCTTTTTGACACCATACCCCCTCCCGCTACCACCCATTTCTTTTCTTCACTACACAGCTCATTTACTAGGAAGAGTTTCTGTATTTAATTTTACTGCATTTCTTCCCATCCCATTAACTCCACAACCCATTCAGTCTGACCTCTGTCTGATTTTTCCACCAAAATTGCTGTTGCTAATGTATCCAATTACCAGCCTGTTGCTAGATATAATGAACATTTTCAGGTAATCATCATTTGTACTTTTCAGATGTATTAAACATGATGACCATGCCCTGCTTTTTAAAACATTTGCTTCTTTTGCCTTGTGTGAATTGGTTTTCCTTTCACCTTCCTAGATGTTCCTCCCCTCTGTCGTTTTTGCAGGTCCATCCTTCTTTATTCAGCCTTTAAACATTGACTTTATCATGCTGTATACTCTTCTTAGAAAATTTGCTCTGCACATATTTTCATTTGTCACCATTGTATGTCAATAACTCACATTTCCATCTTGAGCTATATTGTATACTTTGAGCTCCAGACCTGTGCATCCAACTGGTACCTTGATATCTCCTCAAAAGCATCTCACAAGAAACTCATCCAACACCAGACTCTCCTCCCCACAAAACGTAGTCCTCTTCTAGTGTCTCCTCATTTGACATATAACATCATAATTCATAATTTATCCAGTTTTCAAGTGAGAAACAGAAACATCATCTTTGTGACTTCTCTTTACATCACACCCTATCCAAACCATACCTTGGACCTGAACATGTTACTGCCTCAGTCTCTCATTCATGTACTTCATTCCATCCTTTCCATTTCCACCACCACTGCCACAGACTGAGCAACCATCGTCTCTCATTTTTACCTCTGGAGTAGCTCATAACTCATGTACAAACATCCTCTCTTGCTCCACCTCCAATCTTTTCTCCACACAGTAGGTGAAATGATTTTTACAAACAACAATTCTAATTGTGGTCATGGCCTCCATTTAAACATTACAAAGGTGTATGACTGCACTTGGGACAAAGACTGCATCCTTCCATGACCACAAGCCTTTGCCCCCCACCCCAAGTGTGGGTTTCTTCTCATACCAGGCTCCCCTTCACTTTCATGGATGGCCTCCTTGCTTCCATATTCCCTTCCAGCCTAGACACTTGCATGTGCTATTTCCTTGGCCTACAATGCTCTTCCTTCTCTTTTTTGCATCGTTAACCTTAGCCTTCTTCAACTTTAAACCAAGAATCACTTCCTGATTTTGAGAAGTCCCTTCCCTGATCTCTTTGACCAGGACACATTCTTGTAGGTGCTCCGAATGCTTTGCATCTCTCTTGGTGGTACCTGTCATGGGTGCTATTTCCCATGTGTTTGTGTTTTTGTTGTTTTTGTAATTTAATTAGATCAGGTACCATGCCTATTATTCCACACATTTATGCCTGGTAAGTCACCAGTGTAACAGATGTTCAGTCAATATGTATTAAAAGATGAACAAAAGGGGCCTGGTGTCAGAAATAGGGAGGCCTATACAGAATCTTTCAGATTTAAAGGAGGGATACTTCAGGAGATATTGCATGTGAGTGCTCCTATAGGGTGATGACTTGCCGCGAGGGGCTGGAGGACACCACCATGCCTTTGGCTGTAAGAAGACAGACGGATTGGAGGTAGAACTCAAAGAACTGGGTTTACCAAATCAAGGCAAACTTTCACATCAGTAATAGCTTCCTTTAAAATGACTAAATACAATAGCTAAAAGAAGGTCACCGGAGGTGGAGGGGAGCAGGGAGGGGCGACTGAGTCCAGTTTAAGTGTTAATTCTTGACTTGTTCTGACAATGAAAGTTTCCTTCCTGTTTCCTTTTCTCTTATAGAACGGCAAAATTATTGCAAAGATTGAGGGCGCAAATGCACCACTTGTTAATAAAACAGTTATTACCTTGATCAATGAAGAGAGGAAAATTGCAGCAGGTGAAATGGTTCGCCCTCAGGTAATACTTTGAATTAGCAACTATTTTAGTTTTTAAGAAGCGCGTTATCTTTTTTCATGTTTTCCTAATTTTATAACTATCTAGCTGTCTAAATGATGCAACCTTTCTGGGAAGCATTTTGGCAATGTGAATCCAAGGCAAGTGTAGATCCTGTGCTTCAGCAACTACCCTCCATTAATTTGCCCTAAGAAAATGAGACAAATATAGAAGAGGATATTTGAAATGTTATCCCTATTATTAAACATT